AATTCATAAGTTGATTTGTGAAAATCACGTGACAAATTTTTAATATATTTGAATTTAGTATAATTTAATATATAAATGTTTTAATTTTTTTTAAATTGTATTATTTAATGTATGTGTAGGATGATTATCAGACATTGCTAGCACGTTTTCTGGAACACAATCCGCAATACAGGCCAGCAGAGGGGGAGCCGCTTAATGGGGATGTTGATTTCTATATTTGGAATGAGGTTGTTAATGGAAAAGGGCCTAATGGTTGCTTTTTTGCGGGAGGAAATTTGGCCGCCGGCTTGAGAGTTGGTGATCGTAATCTGTTTCAAAGACTTAGAGATGGAGAAGGGGGGTCACGTCAACCCAATCTGACTCAGGTTCAACTTGAAACAGTACGACAATTGGCGGCCAGTGAAGTGAGACGCGAAATGGAGGCCCAAATGACGACAATGAGGCAAGAGCAGGAGCGTCAGTTAGAGATCATGCGGAAGCGGCAATCTGATATGGAGGAGCAGATGAGACAGTTTATGCAAGGCGGTCGAAATCAAAATGTTCCTGATCATACACAGCCGGATGATGACGGACTTGATGACTTTGATCTTGATAATTTTCCGGGTGAAGATGCCCCGTGAAAACATTTTTTTTATTTCGTTTTTATATTTGCATTTATGTAAGATATATTTATTTTTATCATTTTAAATTAATAAATTATATAACATTTAATTATGTGAATTTATTTTATAAAATTCTATTATTCGAAATATAAAATAAAATACTATTATTCTAATAATTTTAATATATAAATTTTATTATATAAAATTTATTATATAAATTTTAATATATAAATTTATTATATAAATTTTATTATTTAAATTTTATTATATAAATTTTATTATTTAAATTTTATTACATTAATGAATTAATATAAAAATTAATTATTAACAATTTTTTAAAAAATATAAACGTCCCCTGTAGCGACGTGGGAATCATGTCACAAATTAGTGACATGATTCTCACGTCGCTAATAAAGCTGTCATTATGTAATATGTAGCGACGTGAATACCACGTCACAACTTTGTGACGTGGGAATCACGTCGCTACTTGCTTGCCACTTACTCCCCAGCGACATAACTCACCACGTCGCTAATTTTGCCTTGCCACGTGATTTTGATGTTTGCCACATGATTTTCACGTGGCAACTGAGCTTCTTTTTTGTAGTGTATAGTTTATGTAGAACTTACTAAGCAAATTAATAGATTATTATAAAGTTTCTGAAGAACTTATCAAGCGATTTGTAATTGAGTTCATGAGGAACTTCAAAAATCTTTTAGAATTTAATAGTGATTTCATTCTCTCAAATATAATAATAATTTTATTTTTGATTTTTGTTTTCATAATGGGTATTAAGTTTTTATGACATATATAAGTAGAAAAAAATCTTTTCGATTATAAATTTATTAAGATTGACAAATACTTGTTTCAAAATTGAATATTATTAATTTGTGATTATTATCAAAATTTATAAATATTTGATTTAAATGTCGAAATTATAATTAAATTATATATCATCTATTTTTTAAAAATATATTTTATATAAATAATTTTATTATTTATTATAGATTGAAACAAATTAGAAATATAATATATGTATTACTGTAAATCAGAAGTTTACATATCACATTTAAGTGTATTGTTGACTAAATTGGTTACTAAAAATCATGCATATGTCTATTCAATACCAGAAGTTTGTGAAATTATTTTCTCAACTAATTAGACTAAGATCTTGTTTTCTGGATTTTTTAGAAAATCCTGAATTAGTATCATATATATTATTAAAATTGACATTGAACATCATATAATATATGTTCATAAAAAAATAAAGTTAATTATATGTTGATACTTATAACATCATCAATTCTAAATTATATATTTGAAACACCCAAATTATGATATTAAGAAATTTATTCGGATCAAGCGAACACCTTGTGATACATTTCTCCTTCGTTGATGTAATGTATTTTAGGTTAATAACCTGATACTTCTCGTCTAAGTGAACTTTTGGATGTGTTGTGCATTTTTCAATTGCTCTAATATAACACATTAAGACGAGTCCTAAAAGAATATTGAAAAAATATATTTGATATGAATCCCAATTTTGAGGATTTAATTTGATAAAATAATCAAATACTTGATTGTAGCTCAGTAGGCAGATTATCACTTGATAAATTGATTTTCTCAATATTTGAGGGAGGAAATACGCAACTGAAATCATGAACAAGAAGTTCAAATGAACAATTTTAGATCTTGATCCTCGTACAAACCAATATGAACTAGAATTTCAAAAGATTATTCATTTGTAAATTTTATACAATCAATTATAGCTCCCAATACTACAATAAAAATGGATTTTCCTGTTGGGTTATTAATAGTGCAAAAGAATTGAAATCGTGCATAAAGCATGGTAGGAAAGTTGGTTTCAATATTAATAATCCTCTACCAAGCAAATAAGATAAAATTAAAGATGACCCAAGTGAGGATATGAAAATTCTAAGAATATTTTGATATAATTTATTCTTAGTTCCAGAAGAACTAACAAGTGATACCTGAAATTTATGAAATAAAGAGATCTCGATAAATTATGTCATAAATGAAATATGATGGAACCAAAATAAAATCAATATTGACAATATCTTTAGATGAAATATCGCGTTAAATATGATGAATGATAATGAGGATTGTGAATCAAATTCTATCGAAGATTGTAGACAAAGTGAGAGTTGACCAAAATTAACAGATCCAAATGAAGAAGAATTAGACTCACTTTACAAGAGACTCATTTTTGGACCTGTAGTCCAAACACCTCAAGATGTGAAACCAATTGGATATAAATGAGTTTTTTGTTATAAAGAAAAATAAGAATGTAAAGCTTAATTTGTGGCTCAATGATTTTCACAATGATCTAAGGTTGACTTTGATGAAACATATCACCTACAGTGGATTCAATTAGTTTTCAAATTTTAACTAACCTTGTAACACATGAGGGGCTTAATTTGAACATGATGGATGTTGTGACATCTTACTTATACAACTCACTTGATAATGATATTTACTGAAACTCGCTAAAGGGTTTAATATCTCAGATATAGATAATTTTAGATCTCGAGAAAGCTACTCCATCAAATTAAACAGTTGTCTCAATGAATATTTGCTAAGGGAGAGATATACAAATAAATATATATGTCATTATATTTTTATGAAAAAGGTCTAGAAAATCATTTTCTATAATAATTGTATATGTGGTTGACATAAAATTATTGAAATTCTTGAAGAAATTATAAAATTTATAAATCTCTTAAAGAAACAGTTTGAGATAAAGGACATAGAAAAGACAAAATCATGTCTATGTTTACAAATTAAGCATTTGGATAGTAGAATTTTTTTTACATTAAGAATATTATATAGAAAAGGTGTTAAAACGTTCGTATATGGATAAATATTGTCTACCCCTATGATGTTAGACCATTGGATTTGGATAAGACTCTTTCTGACCTCGAGGGTGCGGCTCTCCGTCTTCCCCGGGCTGAATCTCTCCATCTCGAGGTAACGGGCCGCCCGAAGAAGAGGGCGATGTTGGCGCAAGATGTTGGCAGTTTGATGCGGATCTTGGAGATGGCGGTCGCTTACATCGAGGGAAGTTCCTCTCAGGAGACAGAGATGAAGAACCTTCGAGCCAAGCTGGCTACGAGCGAGAAGGCCTTGGTCGAGAAAGATAAAGCCTTGAAGCTGTCTGAGGAAGAATCGGGGAGGCTCCCCGAGGAACGCATGGTTCTCTTGCTCGAAAAAAGGGACCTTGAAGGAAAGGTGGAAGCCCTGACTGCCGAGATTACACCCGCTGAAGATGAGCCGGAAGATACTAAGGATCTGAAGACTCGGGCCGAGCTGGTTGCTCGTTTTCAGTTGGCCGTGGACGACGCTCAGGTCGCTTCTGAGGGGAGTTTCGAAAATGCTGTAAAGCAGCTGCACGTGTTGAACCCCTGTGTTGAGCTCAACACTTCCGAAATTGGGGTAAATTATTATGTAGCTGTCGATCAGATTCTGGTCCCTGATTATCTCAAGGATATTGTCGCCCAATCGAACGGAGGTCCCGCCCAACTGTCGCCTGTTGCTAAGGGAGAAGCGAAGATTTTGATTGAGAGAGTTTTAAAGAGTTTGTAATTCTTCATAACATCAAAATCTCCCTAATTTAGAGAATTCAAAATTTGTATTAGAGAGTTTAAAAGGCTTAGACAAATTGTTCAAATATAATTTTTGTTATTATAGTATTTTAAAAATTAAAAATACATTATTTATAAACATTATTTTATCATTCTTCATGCTTCTGTGATAGCCTTCTCCACAAGGTCTGCCTTTTGATTTGTTATTGTTGTAGTTGTGATTTGGTTGTCCTCTGTATATTCTAGCTCTAGTGTTCTTCTTCTTTTGTTATGCTTGTTTTCTATTTTTGGTTCATCTTCTTCTCTGATACAGTCAGCATATCAAGCATTTCTTTTCATTTTCTCCCAAAGATAGCTTACCTAGTTGTTCCTTCATGGCCTTAAGAAATTACAAGCGTCAAAGCTTTTCTTCATTCTCCGTTTTGTATCAAAGAATTGGGGAACCCCTAATACTTTCTTGGTCTTGGATACTTTAGATGACCTTGGACTTCTCTACTACAAGATCTGCAACTCACTTTCAACAAACCTTCAATCTTATACCGTGACTGCGTTGCCCGACATATTGCAATGAATCCAACTTTTGATAAACGTATTAAACATTTAGATATTAATTTCCATAAATATTAATGTAAATGTATATTACACACATACATATGATTAATTTGATAAAGCACTCGCTAACTAACAAACCATTTCTCAGAGGGACTAGGGCCGCTTAGATACTATAAAAAAGTCTTATGTTAAATTCAACTTGTGATGCACTGCAGATGATTGATTATTCTGCATGCTAATTTTTACTTAACAAGGCACGATTTGTCGTTTCGATGGTCTCTTTAATCCGAGAATAACAAGGATCAATCCAATATAATCATAATTGTAAGAGACTTCAAGTAGCTGAAACTTGTTTGGTGTCCATGGTGGATACCTATACCAAAAATCAGTTAAGAAACTTCTTCTAACAATAGCTTTCTGGTGACTGAATGTGTCAAACGAGAATTTTCCATGGTACATGCCAAATCCACTCGCACCTACTCCTCCAAATGGTAAACTATCTGCCGCGTACTGCATTATGTATTTGAATCGAACATTAATTTAAAGTGGTAATGCGAGAAAACAAAGTTTACTCAGTATAGAGTATTATTACTTGTAGAATTGCATCGTTGAAAGTAACACTGCCAGATGATGTTTCAGATATCATTCTTTTCTGTAGTGTTTGGTTTTTGGTGAAAACATAAAGGGCAAGAGGTTTAGGCCTAGAGCTTATGAATTCAATGCTGTCCTCAATCTTGTCCACCTACAAAGGAATTTAATTTAGAGGGAAAAAATAGATATGGTAGGGCTAGAGCATATATTTGCATGAAATGAAACTCACTGTGATAATTGGAAGTATTGGGCCAAAAACTTCATCTATCATTATGGCTGCATCAAGTGGTGGATCCACCAAGATTGTTGGCTCAATAAATCTGCACATATATTTATATTTACGTGTTAGTGTCGTGTCAGATGATTATGTAATTATGTAAGCAATAATACGTGAAAGGGAGGGTGTTAATTACAAGTTTTCTTCATCCACTGAGCCACCATAAACCACAGATTCTTTAACTTTTGGACCAGTTAGAAGTTTCTTCAATCTAACTAACTGTTGTTTATTAACTATCCTTGCTATAGTATTCGAACGTTTTGGGTAGTCTCCAAACATTTTCTTGATCCACACCTTCATTAATTCCACCTTATAAAGATAAAATTAAACAAGGTTAAGCTTAATGAATTAAATATAACATTAAAAAACATAGTGAAACTAAAAACTTCAAATTTAAGAGATGTACCAGTTTTGAACAGTAACTCTTTTCCACAATGACATAATCAATTGCTATGCATGCTTGACCAGCACAAGTCCCATACTTTCCAACAATAATCCTCTTCACAATAACCTTATAATCACAAGAAAGTGTTAATTACATTGCTAATTGGATTCAATAACTTGATAAAATGTAACTTGTGGGTTAAGTCATCTCATTTTATTTACACTAGGTCACTTTTAGAATAACAATCCTGATTCTAAAGTAAACAAATAAATAAACGCACAAGAACAAGATAACTAATAATATACGTTTGCAGCTACGCTCGAGTGTATACCGACTTATAAAATTGGGGGACACTGCTATCGGTAAAATGAATTGACTTACTCACCTCTAAATCCCAAGAAGATGAAAGTGAGTCCACAACTGCAGGACATTTTCCACCCAACTCGAGCACTACAGGGGTCAGGTGCGTTGCAGCAGCAGACATCACAATGCGCCCCACGCGTGCACTACCTGATATTAGTATTCAAAATTTAAATAATTCTACATCATTTTTTTTTTATAATCACAAACTCATAATCAATTTTAAATAAAGATCTACGGCCGTGACAGAATAGTTTTATAAAAAAACAATAATGAGCACGGTGCGACTGATATTTAAAACCGTGCTCAAAACTTAAATGAAGTAGGAAAGAAAAAAAAGTAATGATGTTGACCTGTAAAGAAGATTTTGTCCCATTTTTGGTTTAATAACTGCTCGGATTCCTCTGGTCCTCCTTCAATAACTCTAATGGCTTTATCATCTAAATAAGTAGCAATGCCAGAAGCAAGTAAAGAGGAACATGAAGCAGACAACTCTGAAGGTTTCAACACTGCTGTGTTTCCAGCAGCTATAGCTCCTATCAATGGCTCCAAAGACAGTGCTGTGTTTTTTGTTTGGTATCATAATACGAAAACAAATTTTGCATACGAGTTCAGTGGTAAGAGTTTGACTTTGTAACGGTAAGAGTTGTATAGAATGATGACTTACCAAAGGGGAAATTCCAAGAAGAAATAATGAGAACAAGACCAAGAGGCTCATGAACAATTTCTGCACTTGATAGCAATGCTAATGCTGGTAGATTAGCCTATATGAAAGAAAATTAATTTATTATTAGTGACTTTATGTGTATATGTTTTTTTTCTTCAAATTGGTTTTCCATGATTGAAATTATTATGACAAATTTGTAGCAACAGAAGAAAGATCTTACATTCTTGCTTGACATCCAATCTTTGAGACACTTTATTGCTAGATTTAAAGTCTTCACCAACGTTCCTATCTGTGAATAGATTTAATAAATGGAAATTATATAATGTGAATACAACATTGATAATTCATTCATTATACCTAACTCATAGCAAATAAATAATATTTTTAATTACTATTTTGATATTAATTGAAGCATAGTTATTACATACATAAATACTTCAACTTTTATTTAGAATTTTCTCTCTCATTTCACACATACATAAATACAATATTTATGATAGTTGGATCCAAATTTGACAATTAAGATTTAATCAAAATTTAATTTTAAAATTAAAAATTAAAAAAATTAGTTTCAAAATTTAAATCATGCCATTTCAATTTAAATCACAGAATTATTATACTTTTATACTTTGAGAATTATTAAATCACAAAAAAAAATAAGAATGTATATTGGTCAGTTATCATTATTTTAATGATAATTTTAAATTTATTTTAAATTTATTTATTTTTTAATAGAAATCAGATAGTGGTAAATAATAATGAATATATGAGATTTAATTCTTGCATTTCTTAATTCATATTTTCTTACTAATAAGTATTTTCCTTATTTGAATATAATCTATATTATTATAACATATTGAAATTTAAAATATGTTAATAATAAATACTAATTTATAATTTTATATAAAATCTTTTTTTTTCTAACTTTAAAGTATTTTTCTCTAACTTTTTTATAAAAAAAATTCAAAACTTTTCCTTCTTCTCTTCTCCAAACTCCTATACAAAACCTTAAATTTATTATAATTTATATTAGATCATTTCGGATAAATAATATTTTACTTATTTTTTTATAGGCTAATATTTTACTTATTAAATAATGATGTTTAATATTTTAGTTTGAAACATTTAAGTTAAATGTATAAAGAAATTGGAACTTAAGAGCTCAAATCCTAACAAAAATATAAATATAAACTAACAATTAATCATTAATAATTTGTTATTAAAAAACAATGGTGTTTCTTATTATCTCTATTAGAAAGGTTGGTAAAAGGAGTGCTTAATAGGAGAGAAGTGAGGGGGAAAAACATGCAGAAACCCTCTTTTTTTTCTTCTGCGAAAATTTAAAAATTTAAAATAATTATATAATATACTTTTTAGTTAGTTATTAATAAAATAAATATAACTTATTCTTTATATAATATATACACATTTTTCTACATTGAGATTTCATCCATTTATTTTTTAACATACGATCAAAGTGAAATGAAAGAAGAAAAAAAAACTTGAATGGTGACATGGTGTAGATTCGAACTTGATACTTATTATGTATTAACATCAAAACAATTATGATAAATTAGTAAGATATATAACGTGGAACCACCTACTTAAAAATTCAATATTGTGGATTCACTTACATGCATGTTCACCAAACATTATGGATGAATTATATGTTGAGTTTAGGCATACCTCATCTCTAAAAGCTTCAACTCCATGTTTCCCTAAATCTTGCATGAGAGCTTTGAAGATATCACTCTCTTTTTCCATAAGAAAACGACGCAACCCTTTTAGTTGTGATTCTCTCCAAGATGCTTCCTTTGTTACTCCACTCCTAAAATATTCTCTCATATTTTTCATCTCTCTTTCTACGCTTCCCATCTTTGGAATAGTAATATTGGTTATGTTATGGCCACAACACAACTCTATCTTACTATCATATTATGCATACGTATATATGTCTCTTAGCTAACTATAAGTTTGTTGCTTGGTTTGGTTTCATAAAAGTGAGAGGGGCCTATTCTTTTTCTTGCCCGCATGTCTTTAACCTTTACTATGCAGCTAGGTGTGTGAATTAATTACTACTCACATCTTTTTATATTGATACGTACAACTAACATTAAATACCAAACTAGAAGCCACCTTCTATCCTTTATTTATGACTTTGTGTACCTTCTATCCTTTATTTCACGTCGCAATAATATTACAACTGATTTCTCTTCCTTTAAAACCTGAACACGTCAGTGTTGAAAGTTGTGATTTAATTAATTTTTGTGACATTTTAATTAGCGACGTGAATCCCACGTCGCTACTTTTTTTAAAACGAAAAAATAACTGACACACTTAATGCTTCTGTTTTATATTATTAAAACACGTTGCCACGTGATTTTCACGTCGCAACTGGTTTTATTTACCCACATGAAAATCACGTGACAACTTCACGTGGTTGGGTATGTCTTTTCTTGTAGTGTAAAAATATGGGATGGGAGATGAGTATTACAATTGTCTTTCTTAAAAAGTAAAAATATGGGAGATGAATATACTCTTGTCTTTCTCGAAAAATAAAATTATGGAATGAAAGATGAGTATTACACTTAGTCCATTTTAATTATGGGAGGAAGTAATGTATAATTTAAGGAATTTTTATTTTCAATTATGGGAGTATTAGAGATGAATTTTTGACTCTATTTCACACAGTAATCAAAATAAGAGAATAGTAATCATATAAGAGAAGAAAAAGATGATGTGTAAATTATTCATTAACAGATAAGATATACAAGTGGGTATTTATACAAGGTAAAGGAAAAGTAGTGTAGTTAAATATAGTCCTAATTGTCTAAGTAAGTCATCCACTAAAAGTAAAATTATGCTAAGCTTTTTCTCTAACAGCCCCCCTCAAACTGAAGTAAGTTGTTCTGGAGAAACAACCTTAACTTTTGTCCTTCAATTTTTGAAAAGTTGTTGTACCAAGAGGTTTTGTGAGGATATCAGTCAATTGTGCGCCTGCAGAAACATGTTTGATTAGCATTTGATGAGCTACGTATGTTCGCTTACAACATGTATGTCCAATTCTATGTGTTTCGTTCTAGCATGTAGTACAGGGTTATGAGAAAGCAGTACAACACTTAGATTATCACAGAGTAACGTTGGTGTGTGAAACAGAATATGCAGTTCAAGCAATAAGGATTCTACCCATAGAAGCTCTGAGGTAGTATGTGCCAGAGCCCTGTATTAAGCTTAAGTGCTAGATCTAGCAACTAAAGACTGCTTTTTAGAGCTCCAAGAAACCAAATTAGGGGAGGTTGGTCGCCTATCATCAAGATCACTGGCCTAGTCTGAGTCACTATAGGCCCGAAGAGAGAACTTTAGAGCTGAGACAGATGGTGATAATAGAAAGTCATGACTTATTGTAGCACTCAAGTATCTGAGAATCCTTCTAACAGCTGCCCAATGAGTGTCAAGCAGATTGGACATAAATTAGAATGCTTTATTCACACTGAAAGCAATATCTGGACGGGTTAAAGTAACATACTGCAGAGCTCCCACTATGGATCTATAGAGTTGAGGATTAGCAAAGATGTTGTCACCATGTTTACTTAGTTTGCAAGTAGCCAACATTGGTGTAGGAACTCCATTGGAATTAAACATCTTAGCCCTGCATAAGAGATCCCTGATATATTTAGATTGAGTGAGTAAGAGAGAACCATTAGTGAGATGCTTCACTTCAATGCCAAGAAAGTATAGTTGGATTTCCCCAACTTTTTCATAGCAAATTGTGTGTGTAGTTTGGTGATCAAGTCATGAATCAGAGGAGAACTGGAACCAGTGATCAAAATATCATCCACATAAATCAGTATATATAAGGAAATACTTTGTTTGCAGTATGTGAAAAGAGAGTTGTCACACTTGGATGTTATGAAACTAAATTGCAGAAGAGCGTGTGTCAACTGCTCATACCAGGCTCTGGGAGCCTGTTTTAACCCATATATAGCCTTGTGTAACTTGCAAACTAAGTCTTTGTCAGTACTTACAAAACCTGGGGTTGAGTCATATAGACTTCCTCATTCAATTTTCCATTTAAGAAGGCATTGTTTACATCAATCTGCTAAATATCCCAATTATAAGTGAGAGCAAGAGTGGGGATGACCCTAATGGTTGTAGGTTTAACCACAGGGGAAAATGTTTTTGTAAAGTCAAACCCTTATTCCTGATGAAATCCTTTGGCAGCCAAACTTGCTTTATGTTTGTTAATACTATCATCTGCATTTTGTTTTAATTTGAAAACCCATCTACAACTTACAACTCTTCTGTCAGGTGGTAAGGTAATAAGGGTACAAGTCTTATTATTCTGTAATGCATTGTACTCACTCTGCATAGCCTGAGATCAAGAAGGATGAAGTAAAGCTTGTTTGTAAATGGTTGGTTCAGACTCAGTTTGGGCAATGAAAGCCTTGGGTTTGGAGTGACCTGTTTTATCCCTAGTGAGCATATGGTGGTTACTTCTAATAGGCGACACCACAGGTTGACTACTATGAATGGAAGGGGATTGATATGATTCAGCAATAGGAATACAAGAGGAAATGATGAGTTCATTAGAATAGAAGGAAGGGTTTTGAGGAGAGGAGACATTGTGATTTGGGGAAACACCCTACTCAGAGTTAGAATGTTGAGCATTATTTTCAATACCAGGTTGAAACACATATTTGGACCTGTTAGATAAAGGAGACTCATCAGGAATATTATCCTGTGGACATAAGGAAGAATTAGAATCTTGAGCTTTGCCATTATCCTTAGGATAATAGGAATTATTGGAGTCAGTATTAGTGTTAACCGGCAAGTGAGAAAGTTTGATTGGAAGTGTCTTTAATGGGACTAGACTTGTCAAGTTCACAGTTTGCACTCTCAGCAGAGTCTACCATATCAGCACTAGGAGCAGATTGAGACACATGAGGGTCCTTGGGATGAGACTGGTCAATGGAGCAGGCACAAAAAGATTATTATCAGATTGAGGGGTAATAGGTTATGGTTATACTAGAGAAACTGGAGGACCACTAGAATTGACAGATCTAGTCATAGGAACTGCAATGCTATCTAGAGGAGGACATTTACTAGAGACTCCTTGATTATAACAAGAAATAGAAGTTAGTTGAGTACATTCACCAGAAAATAAGTTAGTGAAAGGAAAACTAACCTCATTAAAGGTGACATCCTTAGATATGTAAATTTTTCCATTTGAGCTAAGACATTTATATCCCTTGTGTTGAGGGGATATACCAAGATATTCATATTCAGAACTTCTAAACTGCATTTTATGTTGATTATAGGATCTAAGTAAAGGAAAAACCGAGCAACCAAAAGTTTTGAGAGATTTGTAGTCAGGATGTTTTCCATATAATTCATGAAATGGTCAAATGGAATATGGCAAGGTTGTGGTAGGTAGTCTATTTATAAGGTACGCGGTTGTGGTGAAACTATGATCCCAATAGGAGATGGGAATAGATGCATGAGACAACATGGTGAGGCCCATTTCCATAATTTTCCTATGTTTTCTTTACACACTTCCATTTTGATGAGAAGTGTAAGGACAAGTAAGCCTATGATGTATACCTAACTCGGCTAAGTACTTGGTAAATGGTCTATGTTCACCTCCAAAATCTGACTATAAAGACTTCAGGGTGACCTAAAACTGAGTTTGAATGAATTAATGAAAAAGTTTGAAGGCTTGTAAGGACTCGGATTTTTGTTTCAACAGAAATAACCAGGTATACTTTGTGTACCCATCTACAAATGTTATGTAGTATTTAAATCCATCCATAGAAAGGGTGAGATATCCCACAAATCAATATAAATGACATCAAAAGGTTTATCATAGTTTGTATCAGTTAAATGAGCATGAATTTTATGAGCTTTACCAATATTACAAGAAGTATAGAAATAAGAGTTTTGTTTATTAGGAACAGAAATGTTACACAACTTCAGTATTTAAGATATAGATTTAAAGTTGGCATGGCTTAATCTGTGATGCCACAGCATGCTAGTATTACATTTATTTCTACTAGAACTATCAGAATTTGAGACTATATAACTATGAATACCAGAAGACAATTGTGGAGTTTTATTCAAGCTGAAAGAATTGATGAGATCCAAGGAATGTGTAGAAAAGCAGTAGAAGCCCTTTCAATCACTAGTCCCTTCAACCAAGACTTGCTTAGAAGCCTGTGATTTGATGAAACATTTATCAGGAAGAAATTCAAATAGCACATTGTTGTCACTAGAGAACTTAGACACTGACAACAAATTTTTGGTAATAGTAGGGACAAGAAGAACTTCAGATAGGCTCACTTTAAATTAGGCATGAGCTTAGAGTAAAAATGAAAAAACCCTACAGCTTGAATATAAAGTTTTTGACCATTAGCAACATGCACTCTATTATTTCCTCTATATGGTTTCTGATTATGTAAAAGATTAGCAATAGGGAGTTAAGTGGTGAGTGGCACTTGAATCTGCAAACCAGGATTGTGATTCCAATTCAGTAGGAAGGGAGTACTCTTGTCTATAAGCAATTGTTGAAAACACTTTATTTGGAAAGTATTTAAATTATCATTTTCCACATAGATTGGTGTGATATTATCATCGTTCTACAGTTAAAACCGTTTTAAGCTTAAGTTTCATAAAAGGTTTTGGTTTTGATTTTAGTAATGGAAAATGTTGATTTCAGGCAAAGTATCAAGTATAGGCAAAATAAAGTTTCGGTTTTAAATGTTTAGTAAAGATGTGTCAAGATTAGGGCTCGGTAATCTCTTTCGAGTGTATTTTCTCAATAAAGTATGTGAACTCATTAACAATAAATATAATCACATATCCTCTCAAGATGTTTCATA